AAAGCAATAGTGAACATTGAATATTGGACAGTAAGAGGACTGTGTTGGGAGCTGTCAATCTGCATACTGTGTAGATCAGCCCTGTTTGGATTAGAGTTTTCAGGAAAGTCATCAGCCGGGACAGGAAATGTAAAGAAACTCAAAGCTGAGTCATCTGAAAAGTGGGCGTATCAATCATAGTTTCCCTGTTGTCAGCAGGTTGAATAACTAACCCCCTCCTGCAAAGATAGGTCCATGTCCTTGCCCAGTAATTGGGAATTTGATCTCAAGTGGAGAGATGTATCTTTATCACATAGAACTAAGGTAGGATCTTGAGATGAAAGCAAACTGGATTTAAGGTAAGCACTAAATCCATTAATAGTCATCTTTGTAAGAAGAGGAGAAGGACAGAGGAGAAGGCTGTGTGATGGTGGAGGCAGAGAATTAGAGCCAAAATGGCTACAAATCTGGAAGAGCCAGGAATTGCCTGCAACTGCCAGAAGCTGGGCGGGAGGACCAGAGCCAAGTCTCCCTCAGAGCCCTCACGTCAGCTGTCCAGACACTCTTACCCCAGCTCACTGCCTTCCAGGATGACGAGAGAACGCATCCTGTTGTTTTAGAAAACCCAGGTTATGGGATTTTTTATAAAAGACTTTTATTTATTTTGAAAGGCAAAGTTACACACACACACACACACACACACATACAGAGAGAGAGAGAGAGAGAGAGAGAGAGAGAAGAGAGGTCTTCTACCCACTGGTTCACTCCCCAAATAGCCAGAAGCCAGGAGTCAGGAGCTTCTTCTGAGTCTCCCGCATGTGTGCAGGGGCCCAAGCACTTGGGCGGTCCTCTGCTGCTTTCCCAGGTACACAAGGAGGAACCTGGGACTCAAACTGGTGCTCATACAGGATGCCAGCACTGCAGGCAGTGGCTTAACCCACTATGGCAGAGCATTGGGCCCTTTTTGTGGTTTTAAAGACTTTTATTCATTTTGAAAGGCAGAGTTGTGTGGAAAAAGGAAGAGAGAGGAAGATGGAGAGGAAGAGAGCCCTGAGATAGTATTGTGTGGGAAAGAGATAATTTTTAAACTTTATCCAAAAGATGGTGATAAAAATCTAAAACAGGGCTGGCATTGTGGTACAAAGGATAGAGCCACCAGCTTTGATGTGAGCATCTCTAATGGGTGTGGGTTCATGTCCCAGCTGCTCTACTTCCAATCCAGCTCCCTGCTAATGGCCTGGGAAAGCAGCAGAAGATGGACCAAGTCCTCGGGTCCCTGTACTCACATGGGAGATAGGGAAGAAGTTCCTGGCTTCAGCCTGCCTCAGCCCTGCTGTTGTGGCCATCTGGGGAGTGAACAAGTCTATGGAAGAACTCTCTGCCCTTGTCTCCTTCTCTCTCTGTAACTCCAACTTTCAAATAACCAATTAAGTCTTAAAAAAAAATAATACCAAGGCAATCAGATGATAAAAAAGCCCAAAATATATCTGATACAACTGGAATGACTAAAACTTCATGTAGGCCAGCGCCGCGGCTCACTAGGCTAATCCTCCACCTTGCGGCGCCGGCACACCGGGTTCTAGTCCCGGTTGGGGCGCCGGATTCTGTCCCAGTTGCCCCTCTTCCAGGCCAGCTCTCTGCTGTGGCCAGGGAGTGCAGTGGAGGATGGCCCAAGTGCTTGGGCCCTGCACCCCATGGGAGACCAGGATAAGTACCTGGCTCCTGCCATCGGATCAGCGTGGCGGCCATTGGAGGGTGAACCAATGGCAAAGGAAGACCTTTCTCTCTGTCTCTCTCTCTCACTGTCCACTCTGCCTGTCAAAAAAAAAAAAAAAAAACTTTATGTAAAAATTACAGGCAAAGGAAGAGATCCTGAACAGAAACATAGTACTGGGATGTCTGAAGTAGGAGAGCACTGTGTTCTGAGAGGTTAAAGTTTTACTACATAAGGAGGGAGATAGAGACATTGGGAGAATGAACCGTTTACACCACCTAAGAGGACAGACCCCTTAGATGGTGATTTCTGGGCAGGAAGTCTACTGGAAACCACTTTGGGGATTAGCACTAGTGAGAGTGATGAAAGAGAGATTGGATAGAAGGAAAAGTTGAATTGCAATTCAGCCCCCCAAAGGATTCAACCAATCCCACAAGGACATCTGAAGTTGGACTCGCCTTTCGGAGTTGTCACTAGAATTTAGGCAATAGGGTCCAGCTTTTGTGTCACCGAGCACTGCAAATTCACTCCCAGGCAATTGGGCATAATTTTGCATGAGGCATTTCCTAAGATAAACGGGAAGATACTAGAGGGTTATGAGTAGAAGAGTGGCATTTTTCAAGGAACATTCCAAATGATATGAGAGTAGGCTTTGGTGGAAGGGAAAATCAATTGTGATAGAAGGAAACAGATAGACTGGTTGGAAGATTACTCAAATAATTAAAGAGATTACATTGACTTAGGCAAGGATAGTAGTAAGGCATTGGTGAGAAATTAGATTTAAGATGTATTTTGGGAGTACGGCCAACGTGGTTGTCAATTAATTGAATGTGGGATGTGAGAGAAAGAGGAAAAAAAATGATAATCTTAAATCATTGACTAAGGTGTGTAAAACTGCAGAAAGAGCATATTTGTTGAAGATGAACCTCGAATTAAATATTGGACATTTTAAATTTGAGATGCATATTAGATCTCCAGAGGCAGATGTCAAGAAGGCAGTAGTAGTACACATGGGTCTCGAGTTAAGGGAGGCAATCTTAGATATAAAAATGGATTTAAAAGCATTTAAAGCACAATTACAGAGTATATGGAGGAATGTATAGCTATGAAAGCAAATTAGAGTAGCCAATGCCTATGAATAAAAGAAATCTGATACTGAACTTTGATGTGACTAGAATGGGATGTTATATGAGGAGATACCAATTAATGAGATTAAAAGAATAGTTTTTCATAGAGAATAACTTCTAGAAAGGCAAGTGAAGAGTTTTAAGGATGGTGTGATTAGATATGTCATAAAATGAAGACTAACAATTGGCTTATAACAACATAGAGGTGATTGGTAATTATTGACAAGAATTGTTTCAGTGGAAGAAAATGGATCAGTAAATAAAGTGAGACCAACAGAAGCTACTCAAAAATAAAATGGGGGGGCAGGGAGCAGGTTTTCAATGACTTGCAAACAATATCAGATGATCTAATGCACATACAACTGGACTCCCAGTAAAAAGGAGAGTGATAATAGGTCAGGAAATGTATTTGAAGAAATGGATACAGTATTCTCCTAAATTTGATGAAAACCATAAACCCATAGATGCAGGAAACTTTGTGATCAATAAGCAAGAGTTATATTAGGCAAATCTCACTTAAGCACATAGTCAAACTGTGGAAAGACAATATGGAATACCAAGCTGGGATTAAGATGAGACCAGTTACCTAGGGCACACAATGTAAGGAAGAGCGTATACTAACCTAAGAATGAGTGCCTCCTGAAATTTCACAACCTAAGTGTCTCACCTGCCTCATCTTGGTCCTTTTTCTGGTAAAGGAATAATGATAAAATCAGCCAGAGGAGAAAGAATGTATCAGATGCATGAGAACAACAGTGAGGAGAATATCTGTTACTCACTGGAAGCAATGGAAGACAATAGAAAATGGAATAATACATATATTTCAAGAGTTGAAGGGAGAGAGGGAGGGAAAATTGAAACCTGAGTCTATACCCAGTGAAAACAGTCACCTGAAATAAAGGTAAAATACAGCTTTAAGATAAATGGAAGTAGAAATAACTTGTTGCCAACATACATATTCACACTGTGATAAATACTAATAGTAAATTTTACCAGGTGGAAACTAACATCTGAAAGAAGGCATGAAGAACACCATAAGTGGCAAATACATGGTTACATGCAAAATGCTATTTTCTATTTTCACAATTTCTTTAAAGGATAGTTATTTCAAGAAAAAATTGAAGCAATGGATCGTGATGTTTGTAACACATATAGAAATAAAATGTACGAAAAGAAGAGCACAAACGATTAAATTGAATTCTACTGTTGTAAGGCTTCTGCATTATTCATGCAGTGCTAAAATGTTAATCTAGAGTAAAATGTCATAAATTAAGGCTGTATGTTATAATTCATCAACCAAAGAGTAGAAAATACCACAAAGAGCCCATAGGGGAAATAAAGTGGATTAAAAGAGTGCTCAATTGATCTAAAAAGTCAGGAAAAATGAACCTAAAACAGATCAACCAAAAACAAATGTCAAATGGGATACTCCTAATCAATTATCAGACCAATGGTCTATATGGCATGGAGAAAAAACAGTCTCCAACCGAGAGAGCTGCATGGAAAATTATCTCTAACAGACAAAGACAGGTTTCAACTGGACAAAAAAAAATATTTTCTGAGAAGAAACAAGAGGTCCAACAGATTCATGGCTGAGTGAACAGAAGTTCTAGAGAGGCAAAAGGGTTCCAGCAACTGGGGAAGGGTTAGAAAAGGAGCCGGATGAGCAGATCTACAGAGATGGTATGGAAGAGTCTTGGGGATGAGAGATGACGTGGAAGTCTGACCGCCTCCTGGTGGCAGTAGTAAGACATGAGAAGATAAGTCTTGGGGTCTGTGGAGGCAGAGGCTGGGGGTGCTACGTGTGAGGAAGGAGTGAGGCCCAGCCAAGAGCATGTAGATCTCAAAATGACAGCTGGGAATGGATGCTGCTGGGGGAGCCCAGGGCAGTCTGGACGCAGCCTTCCCTCCTCATGCCACCCTGTGGTGCAGGAGCCTGCAGGTAGAGCCAGGTCGCGAGAGCACAGTGAGGGGTGTGCTAGAAGGTGGATGGTGCGGATGCTGGCACTTGCGCATGAGTTAGCAGGCATAGCCAGGCATCTACTCCAAAAAGTGTGACAGGTTGGGCCTTAGGAAGCGGCTCAGAACCATTCTCAAAGCCCAGGATTCAAACAATTCCTTCTATAAGAAGGCTCCCCAGTGGTAGAATCTAAGGTAAATTCTCTAAATGGGGAATAAATAAAAGTTATGTTCAAATCTAAGCAGAAGAACTCATAATAATGTTCCCAATTGAATTCATACCCAGAATTACAGCACCAACATATCACAATGACAATTTTTACTGCTCTCCACCTTTCTCTTATCCTTGCCAACTCATGAATCAAATTGGGGTCACGTTGATAACAACCTAAATCACACTGCTTCTAGCTCTTAAGCCGCAGGACATAGAAACTCACCTCCTAAAATTTCTCTTCCAATTACCTGTGGATGGAATTGCAGTGTTTTTTTGCATAGGCAACTGTAGCTTTTTCAAACTTATTTTCCTGTCTCTTTGTCTACTCGTTAATGTCCCTGCTGTCACAGCTGCTGCGGGCAGTGCTCTGCATCTCCACTCCTGCCCAGGCTCCACAGAACCATGCACCTGTAGGAAAAGCAGCGGAACCCCCTGGGCAGACTGCAAGGACTTCAGGGATTCAGCCTGACTTGGCTCCTCACTGCATCTCACACACAGTCGAGATGCTTCCTACTGAGCATTTAGCAGAGTTGCCGTGAGCAGTGTAAATCCGGAAGCAATTACTGCAGATCGCTGCGCCTGCCTAGTGAGGAAAGCGGGCCGCCCAGGTGGCAATGTGTATAACAAGTTTGGATCTAAGAGACTAAGACAACAGATTGTGTACAGGTTTTTTGGGGGGAGGACGGAATTGAAATAGCAAGGATATGGAGCCTCCTCCCCTGGATTCCCTGTATCCATGTACTGTGTGATATAGAGCAGCGTCTTATAATCTAGGGTCTCAGCGCCTCTAGTAACACCAGCGCTTTCCTTCTAGGAGTTCAGATGGAACTGAAAGAGTGACTCAGGCATCAGAGTTATGGAGATGAAAATGTCAGCTTTAGGCCTGAGTTGGAAAGACTCATTCAGCAAGAGATCCTGCAGGTCAATTTCAGGCCCAGCTGAACTCGGAGCACTGTCCCAACAAAAGGAGGGTAGAAGGGGGAGACTCACCCTCCGTGGCCTAGCTCAGCTCCTGCACTCAGGCAAGTCACTCACCTGGAGAGCAGGTGTGGGCAGGGTGCTTTCCACCGCCAGAAGTCCCTCCACCCAGAAACCCAAGGCCCTGCTGCCACCACCTTGCAAGTTCTGGAATCAGATAAGGATCACAGACTTCCTCAGTTTTCCTCCCAAGCAAGTGCACATTTCAAGGTCACAGCCCACATGTGTCTGAGACTGAAGCCCTCATTCATTACCATAACGCTATACTGACTTGGATTGCCTGGTCTATTATAAGATTTCAATAAATATTTGCTAAAGCACTAAAATAAAAATAAATGTTCTCACCATCTTTCTTCTTTTGGACATAAATAAGTTTGGATTACTAAAGTACTGAAAACCCATGCATACTCACATGCTTTGCTAAGATTGATGTTAAAGACATGCAAATAACACTTTCTGCATTCTTCCTGCAATATATTTCAGAATTTCAAAATGAACGTTGAATTGGAAGTTTTTTCAGCTTGTGTGCCCCATAAAGCCAGAGTGCTCAAGAAATCCTCTGTCATCCATCATGGTAGTAGGTTAAGTCTGGTAGCTGAGAGCTTTAATAGTCTGCCCATTTTGGAGAGGTGATATTAACCAGGTCAAAGACTTGAGAGTACTGATCTCTTTAAAATAAACTTACACTGAGTAAGGAAATTGCACAGATATGATTGCCTCTTAGTCTGGGCATTTTCATTTTTAAAAATCAGTAACAGAATTTACAACTTCTTTTAAGAGTGACCTGAGAAGTCACAGTAAAGTGTGATGGGTAAGAAGCCAATAATGCTGGAAAAGCCATCCTTAAATTTTGTGACCAATAGCATCTCTTAGGAAGCATTCAGCTGAAGGCTTTGCAGGAGAAAATTCAACAGACTGCACCAATAACAGGAAATGTATTATCTCATTTTTTATTTTTTTTAAGATTTTATTTATTTATTTGAGAGGTAGAGTTACATACAGAAAGAGGGAGAGACAGAAGGAAAGGTCTTCCTTCCGCTGGTTCACTCCCCACCTGGCTGCAACATCCAGGGCTGGGCTGATCCGAAGCCAGGGGCCAGGAGCTTCTTCTGGGTCTCCCATGTGGGTGCAGGGGCCCAAGCACCTGAGCCATCTTTTACAGCTTTCCCGGGCCATAGCAAAGAGCTGGATCAGAAGAGGAGCAGCCAGGACACAAACCAGCACCCACAAAGGATACTGGTGCCACAGGCGGAGGTTTAGCCCACTATATCATAGCACCAGCCTCTATTATCGCATTTTAAAAAAAATGATCTAAGGGCCAGTGTCGTGGATCAGCAGGTTAAGCCGCCATTTACAATACTTCTATGAGTGCCTATTTGAGAACTGGCTACTCTGCTTCCCATACAGCTTCCTGCTAATGCACCTTGGAAAGGCAATGAGTGGGTGCTGGCCTAAGTGCTTGAGACTCTGCTACCCACATGGGAGAGCCAGATGGAGTTCTTGACTCCTGGCTTTGGCCTGGCCCATCCCTGGCTGTTGCGGCCATTTGGGGAGTGAACTAGCAGATGGAAGATCTCACTCTTTCTATCTCTCCCTTTCTGTCATTCTGCTTGCATTTTATTTTTATTTGACAGGTAGAGTTATTGACAGTGAGAGAGAAAGGTCTTCCTTCTGTCGGTTCACTCCCCAGATGGCTGCTATTTCCGGCACTGTGCCAATCTGAACCAAGGAGCCAGGTGCTTTTTCCTGGTCTCCCATGCGGGTACAGGGGCACAAGCACTTGGGCCATCCTCCACTGCCCTCCCAGGCCACAGCAGAGAGCTGGACTGGAAGAGGAGCAACCAGGACTAGAACCCGGTGCCCACACGGGATGCCGGCGCCGCAGGCGGAAGATTAACCAAGTAAGCCGGACCCACTCTGCTTTTTAAACAAATAAATAAATCTTCACAGAAAGTTAAAAGGTCCAGCAGTGGGGCCCTGACAAGGTTGGTTAATTCAGTTACCTACACTGGAACCCAGTTCTTTCCACCTTTCTCTTCTACCACTCTCACTGCACTGGCTTTTATCCTCAGGCTTGTTACCTCCTGGTCACAGATGGCCACCACAGCTCCAGATAGCACATCTTCGCAAACATACAGACAGTGGAGGTAAGTAAGCCCCATTCTGACTCCTTACTAAGAAGGAGAAGGGGTGGGGGTTTGGTGCAGCGGTAGGACACCACCTGGGATGCCCACCTCCCACGTCACAATGCCTGGTTTTCAGCTCCCGTTTCTCTTCTGATTCCAGCTTCTTACTAATGTGCGTGCTGGGAGGCAGCAGGTATTAGCAGCCCAAGTCTTTGGGTCCCTATCACCCATATGGAAGACCCACATTGTGTTTTGGACTTCTGGCTTTGGACTGGCTCAGCCTTGGCCCTTGGAGGCATTTTGTGAGTAAATCAATGGATAGAATATCTATCTCTGATGGTCTCTCTCTTTCAAGTAAGTAAATACAAATAAACAATTTTTTTAAAAAAAAGAATGAAAAGAAAATACTTCCTTTATATCTTTTTTTTTTTTTTTTTTGACAGGCAGAGTGGACAGTGAGAGAGAGAGACAGAGAGAAAGGTCTTCCTTTGCCATTGGTTCACCCTCCAATGGCTGCCGCAGCCGGCGCACTGTGGCCGGCGCACCGCGCTGATCCGAAGCTAGGAGCCAGGTGCTCCTCCTGGTCTCCCATGGGGTGCAGGCCCAAGCACTTGGGCCATCCTCCACTGCCTTCCCAGGCCACAGCAGAGAGCTGGCCTGGAAGAGGGGCAACCGGGACAGAATCCGGCGCCCCGACCAGGACTAGAACCAGGTGTGCCGGCACCGCAGGCAGAGGATTAGCCTAGTGAGCCTCAGCACTGGCCCCTTAATATCTCATTAGTTTCATAAACAAACCCCAGAAAGAACACTGGATTTACACAGCTGACTTAGCATTAATCAGGACACATTTTCTTGGGCCATGGAAAGGCCATTACCTTGAAGCATAATATGGCCAACATCTGAGCAAAACCAGTTTGCATTTAGCAAGAAAAGGAGACTGGAAATGGCTGTTGGATAGCAAGCCAATTGAAAATGACATAGCAAAATATCATTATTGGAAAAGCTTTCAGGAGATGCCTTCAATTTCAATGTGATTAATTCTGCACACACCAGTGCAGCTAGTACATATTGTATCTCAGTGACAGTTGCCTTAGTATCGGGCGACAGTAGCAGGAGGGTATTTTGTCTGTAAATATATTGATAAAAATTCCAGTTGTTCCATCTTCGTGTTATCCAAGTCACACATTTCTGTTTCTGAGAGTTGTTGAGCTATTCCTTTGCTTTGTTGATGCACTTACGGTAGAGCAGAGCTATTAAAAATCCTTTGTAGCTCTAATTTCCTTTCCATAATTCTTACAGCTCTAGGATTTGACATTCCAATGTCTTCAAAAATATATTTTCTAAGACTAACCAATGGGTTGATTTTTACTGAGATTCTTAAAAATGTATCTAGCCTTGGAAAACCAATACTCAATTGTTCTTTCATTCATTCATTCAGCATAGACTCTTTCAGTGCCTACTATGTCCTAAACACTGCCCTAGGAGTTGGGTACTGGCAGATACAAGAGTTGTGTCCGGCCCAGTGAGGAGAATTCAGAGCGGCACACAGTGTGATGACAGTGAATTTGCTAAATGCTCCTCCAGGCAGAGGAACACAGGGTTGCGACGGCCCTCAGGAAGCAGTGGTGAATTCTGCCTTAAATACAAGAAGTCTTCTTGATGGGGCTGACATGAGGGCTAACTCCTGAAGAATGAGTAAGTAAAAGGGCACTTCAGACATAAGTAAAGCCAGAGAGCCAGGCACAGAGACAGTGGAGGTGTTGTATGTTTGAGGAAGGGGCTGACCTTTGGGGCATGGAATATTAATGGTAAACAGGTAGGCAGTGGCTGGAGAGCTGGGTACCCTTGAAGGGAATTTGAACCTTTTTCAATACAAGAGTCATTCTTCCACCCAGGATATATTGTATCCCAACTATTATTTCAGTCGTCAGTCAGCACATCTATTAAACATTTCTTATAGGTCTAGCACCAAAAACAGTTATAAGTCAAATATCCAAGATTTACTTCATCAAAATTTCCTGTTTCTTATGTCCTAATTCGTGTCTCCTTTGTCTCCTCCTTTCAATCTATAAACATTTTTCAAGTTCCTTCATTTAAAAAAAACCTCTCCTTTCATCCTACAACTTCTCAGACCAGCACTCTATCCAGCTTCTTCCCTTCACCACCACCACTTCTGAAAGACTGTTGGAAGCATGCTCTCTCCACACCTTTGTCTTTCATTAACTCCTTGTCCTATCACAATGCCTTCTCTGATAAAAATGACCAACAAAGACTCCAAATACTATTTCTCAGTTCTCACCTATTAATCAACCTGTGAGTCTCAGCACTGTCATCCATCCCTTCCCCCTTGACATTCTCTTCTGGTGAGTTCTAGAACAGGCTCTTACCCGTCCCTCCATCTGAGACCATTTCTTCTGATTTTTGCAGTCTCCTTCCTCAGTGGTTGGTGTTTTTTTTTTTTTTTTTTTTTCCTCTTTCTTCTATTTTCTCTCTAGGTGATCTTATCTGAAGTCACAGCTTCAATTTGAGAGGCTTGACGATTCCTTAATCTATATCCCAAAACCTGACTCCACTACCAGATTAGGGACCTCTATTTCCAACCGGTTCCTGAGTGACAACCACAGAGTTCTGAAGAATTCTCTGAACGCATTTGAGGTTGGATTCATCACCTATGTCACAGCCTATTTTCCACTTACGGTACTCGATCTTCACTAATAGCACAACATGAGTTTAGAACTCTAACTATATACCAAAAGATGACTAGTTTAATTTGTCAAAATCTTGGTCATATTAGATCATAAAGTAGAGATAAAATTGTAAGGAAGTCAGGGCTGGCGCTGTGGCACAGTGGGTAAAGATGCTGCCTGCGATGTCAGTATCCCAAGTGGGCACCAGTTCAAGTCCTGGCTGCTCTGCTTCCTATCTAGCTCCCTGCTAATGTGCCTGGGAAAGCAGTGGAAGATGGCCTAAGTACTTGGGCCCCCATAACCACGTGGGAGACCTGGAAGAAGGTCATGGCTC